TGTTATTTCCAGTGTTTTGATTCGTGCCAGTAATGCTGGGGTGAGATGGTATCTCATTGTGGTTTTAATTTGCATTTCTCTAATGGCTAGTGATCAGCAGCATTTCCTCAGGTGTCTGTTGGCTGCTTGAATATCTTCTTTGGTGAAGTGTCTGTTCATTTCCTTTGCCCATGTTTTAATTGGATTATTTGTCTTTTTGTCGTAGAGGTGTTGGATTTTCTTGTAGATTACAGAGATTAGACCTTTGTCTGACTTGTAATGTCCAAATTTTTTTCCCAGTCTGCAGGTTCTCTTTTTAGTCTTTTGGTGAAGTTTTTGATGAGCATAAGTGTTTAATTTTTAGAAGATCCCAGTTATTTAGCTTATCTTCTGGGGTTTGTGTGTTGTTAGTTATGGTTTGTATCCTGTTAATGCTGTGCATTAGGACCTCTAGCGTTGATCCTATTTTTTCTTCTATGAGCTTTACAGTTTTTGGCTTTATATTTAGGTCTTTGATTCATTTTGAATTAGTTTTTTGTATGGTGTGAGGTATGGGTCCTGCTTCATATTTTTGCAGATGGACATCCAGTTTAGCTAGCACCATTTGTTAAAAAGACTATCTTTTCCCCATTTGATGGACTTTGGGCCCTGAGATTTATCTTTGTTGTAACGTTTGTCAATTCTCCTTCTTCTGTTTTTTTTTTTTTTTTTTTTTTGGCTGAGTAGTTAGTTATATGTTTAAAGGAAAAACAATGTCCAGAGCAGGAGGAAAGAGAAGCCTAGATAATACATCTACCACAAACATACTGAAGTGTTGCCATTCATTTTAAAATGTCACTTAAAAATTTAAATATATTACACAGATAACGTTTCCCTACCCCACAGTCCCACTTGCAGTAGCATCTTCAGATAAACTTATGTATCCTGCTAGAAATATGACTAGATGATTTTTAAAAAAGATGTATATTTCTTTATTACAAAAGCAAAATGTGCTCATTGAGAAGAGTTAAGGAAAATACAGCAACTATAAACATTAACAGTCTTTCTCAAGCCCACAACTCAGGGGCAAGCGCTCTTCGACTCTGGGCTTACTGCCCACGCGGCACGATCAATGGCCCCTCTGTTCCCACTCACAGCCCCCGGCTCCCACGTTATTTCCTGCAGTGGCAGATCGAGGTCGCCAGGTGGTGCTGCGGCTCAGAGCTCCAGAACACAATGAGAGAACGAGAGGAGCGGCCCGCACGTGACCTCGGCCTCTGGTTTGGACACCTCGATCATGTGACACAGCCCGGAAGCGACTGCCGGGGTACCCTAGAAGGATGGCGAGGGGTGGACTCTGAAGCAGGGAGGGGTGGGCTGCGCTGAAGGCGGATCCGGAGTCGGATCCCGGGCGAGAGCCGGAGCAGTGAGTCCGCGTATTGACGAGCTCAGGCTGGCGGCGGGTCACGGCTTTCGCGAGGACCCACCTCACGTTCCTCCGGGGCGCGGCGGATGCTGCAGGTCAGGACTGGACCGGCCTGGGCTGTGGGTCTGAGGCTTGTCGGCTCCGGGGGCCGCAGATGCGGTGCAGTGCAGGGCCCCACTCCCGAGATGGGGCGAACCGGAGAATTCTTCATACCTCGAGCTATCTCCCTTGACCTTGTGGGGTTGGGATCTCCCGGTCCTGTTTGACAGGTGGCGAAACTGAGGTCCGGAGACGGCAAAGGTCATCCAAACGACTAGCTTGGGGTTCTTGCACGCTTGCTAAAGGGGGTCTGGTTGTCTCAGGCAAGTCTCCGGCCCCTGCGGGAACCCTGTTCCATGACTGGCTAATTAATAATGGTCCTTGGGTCACGAAAACCCTATGGAGTGTAGTTCTTCTCTGAAACACATGGGGTCGCCGTGATTCGGAATCGACTAGATGTCTGGTGGTGGTGGTGGCGGAGGTGGGTCATAGAATGCCGGAATTGCAAGGGCCCAGGGAGATTATCTGATGCAACCCGCTTCTAGGACAGTTGGGGAAACTGAAGCCCAGGAAGGAGAAGGGGCTTGCCTAAGGTCACCCAGTTGAGTTAGTCGCAGAGTTGCGACTAGAATCCATGTCTCCCTAAGCTTCAGCAACTGTTTGCTTTTTTTTCACCACACTGCCTCAGACTTGACAGATGTGAAAAGGCACACTTTTGCTGTCCCCTTCTTTTTAGTCTTTTTCAGCTCTCTGCATTCTCCATGCCCCATCATCAGCTTTGGGTGTAGTTCCCTGTTTCATTGTCCATGATTTTTCTGCAGATTCATCATCCTGTAGGTTTTGGTTTCTAACTGTCCTGCAATTTTTTGTAAGTCATGCCAAAATATGAAATATGAATCGGAGTATGCTCCTAGGAGGATAGGTGGATCCCAGCTGAGGCTGCGAAGAACATTTATTTGGGAATAGCTCTGCCATTAACTTGAAGAATGTAAAGATCTTTGCCTTATTTTTTTTCTGTGATTTGTCAGATTTGGGGAATACTGGTAATTTGGACCGATGTTTTGCGTTTATCGAGGTTTGGTGAAATAAGATGGCAGCATGGTGTAATGACAAGAGCCGAGATTTGGGGATAGGAGATTTTGTTCTGGCCCTGCCACTTGCTTTGCAACCTCGGGTGACTCTTGTCCTCCCCTGGGCTTAGACTGTACAGTAACAGGATTGAATCTCTGAGGGCCTTTTTGGCTCTGACATTCTCTGTATCTAGTTCTGTTTGTTTTCTAACTGGAGAGGGTTTTTTTTTCCCCGTATACATTAAGTATGCTTTATAGCAAGACTGGAGCCCTGGTGGCACAGTGGTTAAGAGCTGGGCTGCTAACCAAAAGGTCAGCGGTTCAAATCCACCAGCTGCTCCTTAGAAACTCTATGAGGCAGTTCTTCTCTGTTCTATAGGGTTGCTGTGAGTTGGAATCTACTCAACGGCAATGGGTTTTTAAAAAATTTTTATAGCAAGACTTAATCCAGTTGTCTAAGAAGCAGTTTCTTTTTCCTTAATACGTTCCTTTTGTTGTTGTGAGTTGCTGTCAGGTCGATTCCGACTCATGGCGACCTATGTGTGCAGAGTAGAACTTGCTCCATAGAGTTTTCAAGACTGTGACCTTTCAGAAGAAGATCACCAAGCCTGTCTTTCCAGGTGCCTCTGGGTGAATTTGAACTGCTAACCTTTGGGCTATTGATTACTTACCCATTTGCGCCACACAAGGATCCTCCTGTTCTTTCTCCTATCTCTGTATTATGCAATGTCCAAGCTAAATGCAGACAGCTGAAAATGACTGTCCTTTATTACTTGAAACATGATCAGGGCCCTCTTCCGAGTCTTATCTAGAGTCTAGTTTACAGTAGGGTGTGTTTTAAAGATGTTCTTGATGTCAAGCAGTAAGGGGATACAAAAGGCTTGGTCATTTGCCCTGACTTTGAGGCTGTTTGTCTGAGGCTGGAGGCTGCAAGAAGCAGAGGCTGCTTTGGTGATAATATTAATTCTCTCTCCCTTTATTTTCTGATTCTGTGCCACTTACAATTGCCGGCTTTTGAGCCCTTAATTTCCCTTTAAAACTTGCAACCATTCATTCGACCTTGTCCCTGTGACAGCTCAAAGTGCTTAGAGCTGTCTTTGCCTATTTGAAAGCCTATTGTAAGGAAGAGGGATTCCATTTATTCCGGAATGTTCCCGAGGCTACAAGTAGGACCAGTAAATGCAAATACCGTAAGGGGAGTGGCTTTTGGGTGAGCAAAAGAACTTTCAAAGAATTAGTCCTCTCCAGCATTGGAAGGCAGAACATGGAGCTCCCTGCCATTGGAGGTAATTGTCACTGGATGACTTTGGCGATGTGTAGATGAAATTGTTATGTTGGGTAGAGGGTTAAACTTTTAAGTTTTCTTCCAAGTGAGAGGTTGTGTGAAATTCTAGTGACCCAACTTGTTAGTGTGTGGAATTTGTTGTCCTGGAGTAGATGTTCACTTTTGTGAATGCTTTATTTTTTCCCCTTGCCTCAGGTAACTGCTGTGATGTTAATTACTCCTGCTTTTTCTTTCTTTTTCTCTGCCCTCACCCTCCTAAGGTATTAAATGCTTAATACCTCTATAAGGGTCAGATGCTGAGGAGTCATTGCTGTGAGTGATACATTTCTTTTTTCCACCCTGACCTGGCACAAGATTCTAGAAGTGGGCTGAGTGAATGGGTATTCTGTTCCTACTTTTGCTGGCCTGGTCCTGATGAGCAACACCACTAATGCTTAGACTAGCTTTTTTCTTTTTCCCATAGAGGAGACTCACACTGACCTCAGTAGACCTTGGAGGAATCCTGTACCTCCCTGGTGTGGTCAAGCCTTCTAGGTCTGAGCACACAAAGGTAGCCTCTGTTAAGTGGGTGTGGGTCCAGTGGATGGGGCATTCCAAATGTACCAAAATAGAAACCGCATGGTGCTGCATTTGATACTGTCTCTCCTTTATCCCCCAAATATTTCTCTTGGAAGCCTTGACACCCAGGACTGGTTCTTAATGACCCTGTCGCTAGTAAGAAAGCTTCTTCTCTGCTTCTCCTTTCCAAGAAGTCAGGGAATCTGTCTTTGTGGGTTACTGGAATGCTCTTGGCACTTAGATCATCTTTTCCAAGTTAGGGAACCAGCTCAGCTCTCCACAGTATTAAATGGAGAAAGTACTGCAGCGCTTTATTTGTACAGTGAACTTTCTATCTTCCTGTCTTTCAACTTCTCTGTAGTAATAATCCCAATTGCTGCCATTAATTTAGGATCTATTATGTGCTAAGTGCTGGACTACTAACCGGAAGTTTGGCAGTTCAAACCCACTCAGAGGTGCCTTGGGAGAAAGGCCTGGTGATCTGCTTCCAAAAGGTTGCAGCCTTGAAAACCCTGTGGAGCGGTTCTCCTCTGCACACATGGGGTCGCCGTGAGTTGAAGTTGACTTGATGGCAACGAACAACAATAACAAATGTGCCAGTCAGCATACTTAACATTTATCGATCTTTTCCTCTTTTTAAAAATACTGTACCATTGGTGTTATTAATGCCATTTTTCAGATGAGGAAGCTAAGGCAAAGAGAGATTAAGTAATTTGTTCAGGATCATACAACTAAATTCCAGACCCTTGTACTTTTTGTTTTGCAGAATTATTCCTGTCTCAGGGTCTGGGTCCACTGTTGTTCTTGGGGAATTTTAGGGAGTGTAGATAATTTGTGGGCTGGGCTGGGAATCTGGTATACTGGATTCTAATCTCAGATCTTGTTTAACAAATTGGGACTGTGGATGAGTTAGCTTGGTTTTCTTACCTCTGAGTGGGATCTTGGAGCTTGATCTTCTCTGAAGTCATGCCTGGTGCTAATGTTTACTGATTTTTATGATTGTGGGTAAAAAGTGAGCATGTTGGCCTATGCAGCTCCTCCTCGATGACCCTGCTGAGGTCAGGTGCTGTCTTATGACTGCCCTCGCACCAGACTCTCAGGCACGGGGCTCTGTTTATGGAATGAAGCTCTGTGGTCAGTAAGATGGAGTCCCATCTGGTGCTGTTTGAAAAACAAATCATGTAGAAGGCAAACGTTTTCATTTCCCTCCTGGTGGACCCCCCGTAGCAGCACAGTTTGTGAAGTCCAACCCAATGTAACTATTTCAGAATAATGGGTAGCACTTTTAGTTTGCAAGTGTCACCAGTGCGTGAACTCTGACAGGAGGGGAGGCCTGAGGTGCACCCATTATGATAAGATCTTTTTTTTTTTTTTTTTGCTGTTGTTGTGCTTTATATAAATACAGCTGTGATCAGGATCACCTAAGAAGCTGGTTAAAAATAAAATTCTCAGGCTGAATCATAGTCCTCGAGTCTGTTTTTAACAAGCTCCCGGGGCATCTGTATGCAGCCAGCCCATGATTTCATAAACCACTGGTGGAGTCCAGCCAGCCTCCAGCACTCCTCACAATGCTCATCTAGTCTTTGAACACTTCTCATGAGGGGACCTCTAGAGGCAGCGTTTTGGATACCTCCGACTCAGAGATTATTTCAGCACAGTGTAAGGAAGAATTTTCCATCTTGAGGACTTCTGATTGATTTGCGCTGCTTTAACTTCTTGTTTTCATATAATAACTTTTTATATGTTTAACAAAAGCTACTCTTAAAAGTGTTGTTTAGCTTTTGGCAATGAAGCTAAATAACACTCGGACCACTGCATCTCTGTCTCCTCACTCCTTTTCTCTCCGCTGACCTTCCCATATAACCTGAAAGAGATCTGCAAACACTTATAAATGAGTTCTCTTTGCCTGGTTGGAATTGATGTGGCTCATTGTACTGAAGCTGGGATGGAAACCAATTAGTAGACTCTTAAATAGCTATTTGAGAACATTTTAGTGTTTTCAGAAGTGAGCTAGTGTGTGTGTGGTAGGTGGGGAAAGATACTCTTTTAAAAGTTTTTATTGTTAGCAGTAGTCATTGCTGGAAATTAAAGGAATGTAAAATAAAACAAATAAAAGTGAGCCTATCTGAAAGAGCATCTGATC